CTGGATAAAGATAATAGAAGAAAAAAGTATGAACATAGATAGAAATTTGTTTAACAAAACAAACTATTGGAAGTCAGATCTGGCAGGATGTAGAAAGTAGTTTTATAGGGATGGCAGTGTTGAGAACTCCTCTAATTGATAAATTAGGTTTTATTTTGTTGGGGGTTTTTTTGTACTGGGGATCGAACTCGGGACCTTGTGCTTGCAAGGCAGGTGGCGGAACCACTGAGCTAAATCCCTGGCCCAATTAGGTTTTATTTTGGCTTTCCATAGAAAAGGGTGTGTTTCTGGGCAAATGCTGTACCCCTGAGCTACATCCAGAGCCATAAAGGGGGTATTTCTGACTTTCTGAAGAATACTTAAAAGTTTTTATTCTTTGAAATCTGTAGGAAATAACATTGCTTTTGGGATTCCATGAAATGATTTCTCAGTCTGTCCAGTTCTGATGTTCTGTTGATTGATGATGAATAAATGACTTGTTCTTTACTTCTTACAGTCTTTCCTTCATCTAGTTTTCAAAGCACATAACAGTCCAGGGAGCTTATTATTAAATTCTGTTACCTACATATTAGGCAGGATTCTTGACTGGGGATACTTTTAGCAGTTAGTGTTGCTTACCTCTTGACACATGAAAGTAACATGATCTTGTGAAGTGAAGTCATCATAGCTTCTTGATCCCTGCTTTAGTCTGCTTAAGCCAAACATACATTTTGTAGCACAGTGCCAGCCCTGTTTTGGATCCCTTGATTTGAACTTGGCCTATCCAGGCTGGACAGAGAGGGTTTAATATAATATTCAAGAGTATAGGCTCTGAAGCCAGGCTGGGTTTAAATTTCAGCTCTTCATTCTGATAATATTACTTCAGTCCAGTTACTTAATTTCTCTGCTACAGTTACTTTATCTGTAAAGATCATTTTATTTATTATTCCTGTGATAGTAGTACCTGCCTCAAAGGAATGTTGTAAGGATTAAACGAGTTAATTCACCAACAAACCTTGAAACTTCACATGGTTTATAAAAGTACTCAGCAGTGACAGTAATAACTGTTGAAAGAAACTGATGATTGAAAAATGAATTCCTTAACAGAAAAATGTTTGGGTTCTTTCCCATGTTGTCATTAGGTGGCACTGGTACCCGGGTGATCTGCTCAGATTGCTATGACAATGCCAACATTTACTCAAGGACTCGAGAATACTGTCCATACACCTATATCGCTGAGGAGGATGTTCTAGATCAGACACTCTCCAGTCTCATGGTCCAGATGCCCAAAGAGACATTTTTGTCATGTCCTTCCCAAGATGCCGCTGCCTTGGAGAACTTAGTATCATTGGCAGACAGAGAGCTGTCTGCCTTTCCCACCAACCACGAGAGGATAAGTGAAAAGAAACCTCCCTCCACACAGATGAGCAATGGTAAGGAATGCTTGCTTTTGTTTTGTTTTGATTTGATTTTTTTATTTTGCTTTCACTTCACCTACTTCATTTTGTCTTATAGGTAGCATTCTCATTTGTCAGGAAACAAATTGGTATACTGGAATTATTATCACTCTTAACTGGTGTAAATTAGATCCAGAGACTATTTTATTTATTTGAGTTACAAAGTCTTTATCAATAGGATGAAAACAACTTTTGTGGGCTAATAAGATCACTCTACTGAAAGTTGAGAGGCAAGGCAGAAAACTGAAAAAAGTTTCATAGAGGGTATTAGTATTTTTTCTCTTCTCTCTGCTTAATGGAGATTCAGAATGGTAAGAATACAATTTGGGCATGATTTGGTGAACATTTTTACTGAAAAGACTTTACATGTTTGGATGCTGTTCTATTTTGCAAATATTGAATCTCAGCATCACCTGTCCTGTGATGTATGGTTGAGGCCATAATTGAGAAGGTGGCTTGATATAGTACCTTCTTTCCTGCCTGGCCCAGGAAAAGACTATTGTACAAGTATAAATCAGGCCTTTGATAACAGTAGAGTAAAAGAGAGTTCTCACTAGACTCTGAAGGGTGGCATTGAGCCTGTCTTCCTGGCCCTCCGGGCTTTCCATCAGCTGTCACCTCCTGTCAGCCTGAAGTAGAAGAGCACTGGAAGTGGGGGTAGGGGCAAGAATTACAGGTTTACAGGAAAGTAAAGTGTGTAATGGTACTTTCAGGTATGGTTCTGGCAGGAATAATAAAATGATCTAACATGAGACTTAAAATGTAAGTGCTCTTTTGGTCTTAAGAGACCAGCTCTAGCAACATTTCTTAAGAGGATACAGATAAAAGAAAAGTACTGTTTTTGAAGTTAATTTCTTACCTTTATATTTAGTATCCATAAAAGCAGTGTACCAGCACTAAATTCATTTTTCCAAGTCCTAGAAGAGTTATACCAAAAGGGTTTAAGAACCAAAAGTGCACCACCTCTTTCTTCAATTCATTGCTGGCGATTGAACACTCACGTGTATGTTTAGCACACACCCTCCATTAAACTGTATGTCAGCCCTGGCACCTCTCTTTTTAACCTTGGAGAGTCTTCACATTTTGAATCTGGTCTCTAAGTAAGGAAGTTAGCAAATCAGAGTGCTTTGGTCCATTGTCCATTTTTTACCTCAGGCACTTAAGATTCTCACTACATGAAGCATGGGCTAGAGACTCAGTGTCGTCATTAATCCCAGAGCTTATTAGAAATGCAGTCATGCTCCCTCCTTAGATCTAGTGAATCTAAATGCACATTTTAACAAGATCCTCAAGATTATTCCTGTGCATATTAAAGCTCAGGCCACCCTACTGTAGCTTACTTTTCCCATGAGATTCATTTTTACTTGCGGGTATTTGTTTTCAGAATGTTAGGCTAGCTTTTCCCAGAATGTATCCCATGAAGTTAACGCAATTTTCAGTAAACCTTCTTTGGTTAAAAGCGCTCACCACTGCTGTGAATAAGAATGAGAAATGTGTACTTTCAAAACCAAAGTACAAACAATCTGATTTAATGTAGCTGTGTTTAGTTACTGTTCGTTGCTTATCATTTGTTTGGTTCTTTTTGTGTATGTCCCTGGATTGAACCCAGGGACTTTGCACTGAGGTACATCTCCACTCCTTTTCATTTTTAAATTTTGAGATAGGATCTTGCTGAGTTGCTAGGTTGCCCAGTCTCAGCTTGAACTTGTAGTCCTCCTGCCTCAGCCTCCCAAAGTGCTAGCTAGCATTGTAGGCATACAACACCATTCCTGTCTCGTTTGGTCTTACTTACTAGAAGTTGAAAGGCAGTGGTTGTTTACTTTTAAAACAATTTAAGAACAATTTAAGGATGTAGTAGCTGTACTGCTTCAGCCGTTATTATCTGTGTATCTTGAAACTTCATTACGATATGGATACTATTAAGTTTCTTTAGTCTTTTTTCTGCGTATCTGAAGTTTTATTTTAAAATTTTTGAAACAGCAGAACCACGAAAATAAGTGAAAGAACATGATACATAATATGTTTTAGAAATTGATTACTTTTTTATTAGTACATGTTTATAGTTGATGCAGGTTACAGTCATCTTGGAGTGGTTACATGTACATATCACAGCTTCTTCTTGTTTGTTTGCTTTTTGGGGGTTTTTTGGTACTGGGGATTGAACTTGGGACCTTGTGCTTGTGAGGCAGGCGGTGGAACCACTGAGCTAAATCCCCCACCCTGCTTCTTTTTTTTTTTTTAATCCTCTTCTCCTTCTCTCCTCTCTTTCCCTCTCTTCCTCTAATTCCCCTGTCCCAGTTTTCATTCTTCTTGATTTTATTAATCTTAGCTCATATTATGGCCTAAAATGTTTACATTCATTGAAGTTACTAGGTTCCTGTACATGGCATATCTTTGCTCTGTTTATTTCCCCTTCCCATCCTCCTCACTTCTTGCCCTAAATTGATTACATTTGATGAGTAAAAGGATTCATTGGACCACAGTTGAGGTTTTTTTTTTCATTACGGCTAAGAAGATGGCAAGTGCATGTTTGATCTCTGTCCTTATTGAGGAATATTGGGCATCTTTATTGCTTTGAGAATTTGGTTAAAGGCACATTAAGTTTTAGAAAATTAAGAACTTTTAGTCACCACTGATAATTTTTGTCTTTTCATTCTCAGAAACATTGCAGCAGCCTCTGTGGAGCACAAACAGAGAAGCAGGCCTGCCTTGTCCTCCCTTTCCCCAGCAGCCAGCCCTTAAGTCACCACAGCTGCATCAGAATGAGGACCTGGCAGAGAGAGAGCCAGACTGTTCTTCCCCCATGCCCTGCCACAGGTTACAGGACCATGCTTTTGACTTTAGTAGGACTCGGAACATTCAAAGTGGTAGTGAGGACACATGAAACCCATACCAGAATGAAATTTGGGCAGAGACTCAAGTTAATTAATTTTGTATTTACTACCTCACAATTGAGAAGAACCTCAAAGTCAGCATTTGCTGTACTCTTGTTTATGATTACATCTGACCACACCAAGGTAGGCCTGATGTATGTTTGGGCTTACGCTTGACAAGGAAAGGGGAGCGGCTGACAGAAGTGAGAATATGTGGCACTGGAGAGGAAGATGTGGAGCCCGTGTGTCTCCTGTGGTCCACGGGGGTGTGCCAGGTGCGCACTGCCCATCAGGAAGCGACTCATTGCTGCTTAACCTGCTGGATTTTCCTAATTTGCAGACTGTGAAAACGTCACCACTTTGATGTTCCACTTTGCCCTCCAGGGAGCAGAAATAACTTCGGAGCCCTCTAGGACGTGTACCTGGGGTCATTCAGTGGGTTTAAGCAGGTAGCTGAGACCAGGGCTTTGATATTCAAGGTCCTTGGCAAGAATCCCAGGTTTGACCAGCTGGTACCAGGTCAAAGGTTTTTGTATTCTTGTGAATTATTATTAGTTTTTGTCCCTATTGCCCAGGGATCTCACTGTAAATATATGTGCATTTATAAATAATTTTTCTATTCCTTGACTGTGTGTTGGTGGCAATGTAAATATTTTTGATATGCCAAAATTATATATAATGTCTAGTTATTGTGAGTAGCTTCTTAGATCAGAGAGTTTGTATAACTAAAGTGAGATCTAAAAACTTTGTTTAAAGAAAAAACTTTGTTGGGGCCAGGGATTTAGCTCAGTGGTGATGCCACCTGCCTCGCAAGCTCAAGGTCCCGAGTTCGATCCCCGGTACCAAAAAACAAAACAAAACAAAGAAAAAACTTTGTTTAAAGTTCTGAAAACTTACTGTTAAGAAGTATATGTATAGAGGCAGAGTACTTAGTGATTGCATACACACAGACACAATCTTGGTGTAATTAACTGCTTCCTTCATGCCTAAACGTTCACTTTCCTAGTCATTTGTCATCTGTGTACAAGTGCCAGGCAAGATTCCCTTTGTAGCGTAAAAAGTCTTGCTCTTTCAGAGCCTGACGATTTGTCATTGCTATATGAACCAGAAGACTTATTTTAGGACTTTTTTCAGCAAATTACTTCATTGACACGGAAACCAAAGATTGCTGCTTTTCTTCTTATTTGTTTGTTTTTAATTTCTCTTTACAAGTGCACAGCATATCTTGGAAGGGAAGAGTCCTCTTGAGAATAGAACGTACATAAATTTTTATACTATAAAGCTTTGGAATGTTCCTTGTTTTGTCATGTGATTGTTTAAGCCAAAAAGTTTTCTTGAATTTCTGATCAAAGAACTTTATGTAAACAAAGAACTTAACACTTTGATGAAATGTGATGGACATTCTTCTTGCTTTCAAATTTCCTTACGTAGGCTGTTCAATTTTATCTTCTAAATCTAATATTAGGCTTTTACTAGATAACTTTACTCTCTTAAATAAAAACATTTAAGTCCTTATGCATTTCCAGGGTTCTAAACTCACATAATTTCTCAGCATTTTATCAGAAAGTTTAGCTGAATTTTATATTCTTTCTCTGGACAGCAGTACCTTTCTTTTTCTTCTTTGAACTGCCTTCTTTGACTCTGTTCATTTACACTGTGAATTTTTTCTTTCTTTTTTTGATGGTACTGGGAATTGAACCAAGAACACACTGAGCTATATCCCCAGCCCTTTTTTGATTTTTATTCTGAGACAGAGTCTCACAAAACTGCCCAGACTGGGCTAGAACTTTGCGATCTTCTTGCCTCAGGCTCCCAGAGTGTTGGGAATACAAAAGTCCCTTCAATCTGCAGTCCTCCTTTTTACTAAGTTATAATGATAGTTTGTCCTGGACTGACTGGGAATTAAGAAACTTCTCACTTTCTCACCGTGCTCCCTACTAGCTGTGTAATCTAGAGCAGGTCTTTTTACTTCTCTAGGCCCATTTTTCTCATTTAGGAAATGAGGCCCTTTACTAGATGCTTTTAGAGCCCCCTCCAGCTGTAACATTATCTGAATCTGCAATTCCCTACAGGAACCAAAGAGGATTATGCTACTTTAATAAAAAGCTGCTTTCATGAAATATTTGTTAGCATAGAATAAGAGTGTTGCTGCTTGCTCTAAATTGAGCCGGGTTTATTTCCTCTGTAGCAGGAATAATGGTCTAAGAAATACTCATAAGGCAAAAAAAAAATCTCTGCTTTTCTGCGTGTGTGTGTGTGTAACCAAGGCTTGAACCCAGGGCCTTCACACTGAGCTACATATCCAGCCTGTAAATTTTTTTTTTTTTAATATTGAAATAGGATCTGGCTAAACCTAGACTGGGCTTGTTTAAAATCTTCCTGCTTCAGCTTCCCCAAGTGGTGGGATTATAGTGAGCCACCACGACTGGCTAATACTCTGCTTCTAAGAGTATCTATCCGTAAACCTAAAGAATCTTGTCTCGGGTGAAAACTCAGTTGCTTTCTAGAGCAGCAGCTTTCCAGAGTGTCAGGATCTGCTGAGGAGTGTGCGCAGCGAATCCGTGGTGAGTGTGTGCCTCACTGAGCTTTCTGGTGTAGTCAGCGTCACAGTACACTCACTCAGATTCAAATGGATCCTTCTGAATGGGAAGTGTGGAGTTATGGCTGGGTGACCAGAGACCACACCCATGAGCCTCAGCTGTCAGGTGTGAGAGAGCAGGAGATAGGCTATGAGCCAGCATTCTAGAAACTTCTCATCCAGGAGCACCACCTCCATCTACCAGCAGTGGTCTTTCCACACCAGTGGTGTCAGGCTGGACTCCCGAAGGTTCAGGTTATTCTCCAGGACGTCAGCTCTGGTGGTTGAAACATCCTCCACAGGTACTCCTAGCTTGCTTCAAAAACTAGTCAGGAAACTGTCTAAATGTGAAGAGCCTACTCTGGTCTTAATAGCATAAATTCTAATGCCAAGACAAGAAATTTCTCAAACATCTTTATTGCATATGTTTTTCACCAAGCAAAATATTGACTTAGTGACTCATCAGTGTTTCTTCCCAGCAGTACAACACCTAATATTAAGTTAATCGGGGACGTTGCAAAGCAGGGCAGACTTGAAAGGCTGAAATACTGCCTTGCTGCCCAGTTACCACTTCACTGAACACATAGATGCTTGTTGTTTGTGCCCCTCTTAAGCTGCTTCTCCAAGCCTGCCTGGAAAAAGAAGTAGCACTTTCTTTGAGTGCCAAGCCTTAACTGGCAGTCTGAATCTACACCTAAGCTATTGGCTCTCTGTCACTCATCATCTTCTAAGTACTTTCCCTCAAATGCAAGCTATCTGTAGAAGAGGTATCAGAAACCCAGTCCAATGTACAGTTGCCCCTGAAGTGGCACCTCTGGTTTAAATGCACATTTTCCTGTAATGTTCATGTTGCCTGCACATCCCCAGCTGAGAGGTTGTAAGAGGGACACTAGGCTATCAATTTAGACTGGTTACCCATTTTCCTATGAAAGGGAGCTATGAATAATAGTCTTAGAGGTGGTCATATGAAAGGACAGGAGTTATCTACATGGTGGTGTGTATACACCTGCTGGTAATTCTGTATAATCTAACAAATACATTTATCTGACAGTTGGAATAGTCAGGATTTCAGGGAAAAATATATGCAGAAGCTAACTAAGCATCTGTTAATAGTGTTGAAGAGAGTTCTGCTTGAGGTGGAAAATGGACAAGATGACTTTTAAGGTCTTTTTCAATTTTGTCATTGGAAATATCCAAATGCAATCTGATAGTCTTAAAACCTTTGTCCTCTAAAATCTTATGTATTCAATTTAGAGTATTTCAGATTTTTTTTTTTCTTCTGGTACCGGGGATCAAACTTGGGTCCTTCCGCTTGAGAGGCAGGTGGGGGAACCACTGAGCTAAATCCCCGGCCCTCAGATTTTTTTTTAACTAAAGAACTTTGGAGCAGGGTTGACAAAAGTGACATGAAGGACCCCAGTTGAAATGGAATTGGAATTCTGGTGTTCAGGTCTTTTTTCTTTTCATTATTTAGAGAATACTTTATATCTACAGAAATGCTAGAGGGGTAAGGGAGCAACAGAGGTGATAAGTTTGCTGTTGGGTGTTTATTTTTTCTTTTTTATTCCCAGTGCTGGGGACTAAAACGAGAGCCTCATGCATGCCAAGCATGTGCTCCACCACTGAGCTATACCCTCAGCCCCAAATTTGCTTTCATTTTATGGTCCATTTTTAATCTTTCTTGTTGCAGATCATAGAGGCAATAGTGAAAACAATTGGACCTTAGGAGGTTGAGCTAAGTCTTCTTTTTGGCAGCCTGCAAGTAATTATTTTCTATTATATGATCTCTTTCCCAGTTCAATTTGGTTTGTTTGGAGTATAATCTAAATCAACATTAGTTACCCTTGGATGTCTTTCTCTTTTGGACAACTGCCTGGTTCACTGACAAAAGTACTAGTTCTGAATTAAGAGATGTACTGTGTTATGAACTGTATTTAACATTTGAAAACCCCAGCATCATCTTGAGGGTTTGTGGAAGAGAGAGGTGTGTGTGTGTGTGTGTGTGTGTGTGATGCTAGGGATCAAACGCAGAGCCTTGTATGCAGTGCTAGGCAAGCACTGCACCACAGAGCTACATCTCCAGTCCCTGGGAGGGTGTTTTAAGAGTTAAGATTGGTGGGGCTGGGGAATTGACTCAGGGGCACCATGCCTACCTGGCAATGCAAGGTCCTGAGTTCAGTTTCTGGTACCACAAAGACAAAGTTAAAATTGGACCCACTCCTTCAAGATTGTTTCTCAGCAGTCCTAATAATCTCCAAGGGGTGGGGCGAAGCCGAAGAGCAGCTTGACTTGTTAGTGCCTGTTTCTAGATGTAAGGAGTAAAGTGTTCTTGTAAAAAGTGTAACCGTTTTTTGTGTTTTTTTTGGTACCGGGGATCGAACTCAGGTCCTTGTGCTTGCTAGGCAGCCAGTGGAACCACTGAGCTAAATCCCCGGCCAAAAGTGTAACTGTTTTGAATGAAGTTGATCAAGTGGTCCAGTGCTCTTGAAATATTTCTTGACTGCTTAATGTGTCTTCTTGGTCCATAAAGAAACTTCCTTCTTCGTCTACTCTCTGTTCTCTCTCTCTTTCCCCCCATTAGAGGATGTCAGTCTGAGCAGCCCTGGATTAGACATCCCTAAAGAGAAGTATAACAAAGTTGTTGTTCAGTGTGGCTCTTTCCTGGTATCTGTATTTTCTCATGCATAAGAATGTATATTTTATAGAGCATGTGTTTTTGTTTGTCTCCTGTAGTATGTCTCAATAAAGCTCAGAATACATTATAACCTTCTGGTCTCTTGTCTGAAGTACAGGAGTGAAATGGTACGTTTCCGAGTTGCATCCTTTTGATGGAGTCTTCACTTAGTGGAACAAGTTAAAACAAGAGTTGTTCTTCTCTAGTTCTTGCCCAGTCACATACTCCCTCAAGCCTGCCACTGGCCACACTCACCACCGAGCTATTCGGGATAGGCACTGTGTGCTCTTCTGCTTCTTCCCTTGTGCTGTCCATCTTGGTGCTAGATGGCTGGCAGGTATGGAAGCTAATCTGCTTTAGAGTTCACTAGAAAGTATTTTCTGCACAAGGAAGAACTTGAGGCAATGTTCCTGATTAGGTAAATCTTTAACAGAATATGTGAAGAATGTCAGTATTTAGTAACGTTATTGTACTATCTTGGGGCCGTTCCCTTTGAGAATGTCAGCTCTGAACACTGGGCTCACAATAGGTAGGCATTTTGTTTTGTTTTGTTTTGTTTTGTTTTAGCTAAGGTTCTGAACTTGAGCTCTTCCTGCCTCAGTCTCCGAAGTGCTGAGATTACAGGTATGCATTGCTGTTCCTGGCTTGGACTCCCAAAATTGTTATCATTGTGTACATCTGCTGCATTTCATCTCCCTCCCTCCTCCTTTCAAAGAGCTGGGGATTGAATCTAAGGCCTTGTGCCTGCTACCACAGAGCTGTACCCCCAGTCTATGCACTTTATTTTTTATAAGGTAATTTCCATAAATTCTATCCCATTCGAATCTCAAAAACATTATGTAGATAGGACAAATAATTTTGATCTCTGCATTTGGTAGTTAAGGAAACTGGCTTAGTGAGATTATTACATACCCAGTGTCAAAAAGCTTTTAGACAATAAAGTGAGGATTTGAATCCAGATTTCCCAGTACTTTCCAATTTTGAGCAGTATATTTTATCTATAGTCATGTAAACAGTTGAATAAAAAAAACCCTCAACTTGAATCACTTCCAGTGTGAAAGCTAGATATTATAGAATGTACCTGATTAATAGTGAATATATTCTGCCTGGCTCTTGCATGTGCTATTAAGTAGTTCATATACTTGGTATTTTATTGTCTCAGCAAACCCCTTCGAGGGAGATATTCTTATTCCCACTTTATAGATGATCGAACAGATTGTGCAACTTGCCTAGAGTCACATAATTAGCAAGTAGCAGAAGGAGGAGTTGAAATGCCTTCATGAACTCAACCACAAATTCTTTGTGTCAAAGAAAGGAGAAAAGTGAGCTTTTAGTAAACCCTTATGTCGTCACTTAGTGTGTGTGTTTGTTCTGAAACAGGGTCTCACTGTGTAGTCCAGCCCAGCCTTGAACTCACTATGCAGCACAGGCTGGCCTTGAATTTGTCATCCTCCTGCCTCAGCCTCTCAAGTGCTGGGATTTACAGGCATGTGCCACCGTGCCCAACTACCTAAATCTTTTTATTGGCTGAATTTCGTCCCCTCCCCCCAAATTTCTATGTTGAAGCACCTAGGAATGTAATCATATTTCAAGACTTAAATAAGTTAAAATAAGGTTTTTAGAGGGAGCTCTAATCTGATCCAATATTCTTCTAAGAACGGGAAATTAGACCCCAGACATGTAAGAGTACAGAGAAAAAGACCAAAGGTGGTGTGTGGAGTCATCAGGAAGGTGATTGTTGGCAACCCAAAGACTGGGCTCTTCCACAGAAGAAACCCAGCTTGCTGACACAGTGATCCTGGACTTTCAGCTTCCAGAACTGTGAGGAAATAAATCTTTTAAGTCACCCAAATCTGTGGAATTGTGGCAGCCCTGATAAACTAAGACAGTCTTGCAACAACCCAGTGAGATGGGTAGAGTTTTCTAAATAAGGAAATTGACTCAGGTTGTCTGATTTACCTAAGTAGGTCATACACTCCAAAGCTCCTGCCCTTCCTACTGAGCCTCACTGTCCCCTGACCCTGGGGGTTTCTTTATTGCTGAAATGCATTGTGGAGACTTGATATTTTCAGACCCCTGAGGAGAAATGGAAATCAAGCCAGTGAACACAATGGCTAGCATGCTTTAGTTCTGACACATCCCCAGCCTCACAGAAGTTCAGACAAAAGACATTGGCAGCACTGAGCCAGGCCTGCCAGAGAGCAGGACGCTGACACGTCTTCATGGTATAAATAAGTGCACCAGGGAACCAAGGAGCAAGGCATTTGGAACATTCCAGAAAAATGTGTTTAAGCTCCTGTTTTATTGTTCCAAGGAGAAACCATATTTTAAAATCAGTACATAGAATCCCATGACTGGCTGCTCTTGAGTCAAATGTATGATTAAGTAGTTTTAATTTTGTCTCTTTCCTAAATGCTCCATCAAAGCCAGTGTCAATTTCTGCCTTGAAAATAATAGGTATGTGGTTCAGGTCGGTGATGATGGAGGCCAGCTTGAATTGTTTATTCCTTAGGGCAAGCTCCAGAGATAGGCACAGCAGTGTATATTCCATGCTAGAAACAACTAGTGCAGAGAAGAAACACAGCTGTCTTCCAACAGTGAATTACTGCTGCCTCAATGGCCTTGTTCATGCATGTAACCTGGCTCAGAACTATACAAATATCACTCTTGCTAAAATGGGGTTTAAGGTTAAGATTCAGGTGTGTGGCTGGGCGTGGTGGCACATGCCTGTAATCCCAGCACTTGGGAGGCTGAGGCAGGAGGATTGCCATGAGGCCAGCCTGGGCTACATAGTGAGTTCAAGGACAGTTTAAACTACATAGCAAGACTCTTGTCTAAAAAAAAAAAAAAAATTTAAGTGTGTGATGTTGAGGACTTCTGACTTTTGGAGAAGCACAAAATCAAAATAATTGCAGGTCTGGGGGGAAAGTAATATATCATGTTGGCAGGAGTGCTGCCTCCTGGGCCTCTCCTCCATGAGCACCAGTTTTCTCTCACACCTCTTCTAGAGCCTGGTCACCTGTCTCACCTGCCAAATGCGTTGTTTCCTGAAGTTCCCTGGAGTACAAGAGACTCTCATACCCACGGACATAGGGAGAAATTTGAAAACAATGTTGTGTCTTCTCTTGTTGAGTATTTCCATGTTTCTACCTGTGGGAGCCTAAATCAAGGGAAGGCTGTAAGAGCTGCTGTGCTCATTAGTTTCCTCAGGCCAGGAAAGGGGTCTTGGGAAGAGAAATGACTGGTTCATCTTTCTCTCAATTCCTTTCTTGTGTCTAATTTAAGTTCTGTATGATGCAAGAGTTGCTAGTGAAATAGTTACAGAGAGCAGAGAATTTCTTCTGTAGCTCTTGAAGGCGAGTTGTGGCTTTTAGAATATCTGGTTCAGAAAACCTCTTTTCTTTCTCACCCTGGTGAAACCCAAACATTTCTTTCTTCATTACTCTTCCTATCCTTCTTCCAACCCTGAATAAAAGAGTTGTGAGTAAAAGAAACAAGCAACTAAATTCCCAAGTCCCTGATTTGCCATCCCATGGTAAGCAGTATCTATTCCATGGTATCCCATGGCTAAGCAGAGGTGGCTCGTTTCCTGTTAAGACAGCTGGCTGGGCATCTGCATTTACCATCTGATTTTCAAAAGTCAGTTGTGGACCCCAATCCTACCAGTTTCGGGAGCATAAGCGTTTCTTAGGTGGTTACTGCCTCATGCTCTTTATAAAGTGGAAATAATTATGCCTACATTACATGTTTGTTGAGAGGACTAGGTAAACTAATGCCTATAGTGCACTAAGCACAGTGTTCAGTAAATTTTGGCTGCTTTTAGCTGTTGTTATGGGCACTCCGAATGGAGCACTCCCCTCTTCCATCCTTTCCCCATCCTGAACAGCACATGACAGAGAATGGGGGATGTTAGTTTCTCCAATGAGTCATTTCAGGGCTAGCCCTGGAGATTTGGGTTCCTAGCTGGATTTTGCTTAGAACCAAGAAACCATGACGAAATGAACAGTGCATTCAGCTGAGAGTCAGTTGGTCTGAGATTCTGACCAGCTCTGCACTCACTGTGACCTTGGGAGGTCACTTGACTGCTGAGTCTTGATGTGGCCTGCCAAGGGCACATGTATGCTGTCATGAGATGTCCTTGGAGGCCCTTTCCAGCTCTGAAATACAGTGGTCTTCCAGGCACAGTGAGCCATCCTTACCACTGCCCCAGTGAGTCTTTGTTTTTTCTAATTGTTGTACGGTGGTTCTTAACTCCCAGGGAAGACTCACTTTATCAAGTGAAAAATATTTACAAATGCTTGCATGGGATTTTATAGAGGACAAATAAAGGGAATGACTTAAATAAAAGGAATGAATGGGAGACAAAGTCAGGAGAAATCTTTTTTCTTTTTTTGGTACCAGGGATCAAACTCGGGACCTGCAGTTTCAAGGCAGGCAGCAGAACCACTGAGCTAAATCCCTGGCCCAGGAGAAATCTTTTTGTTTGAGAAATTTTGAGCCTCCTAAAAAGTATATTGTATGAACTGAGCAACAATGAGCATTTTTGAGGATCATACTTGGTCTACAGTTTTCACCTTATAGCCCCAGTGATTGCATAGGAATTCATACAACAGTCTGTGGCAAACTGAATTGCTTCTCAGAATGTGCTCTTCAGAACTTAGCATGTTGGCTTTATGCCAAGAGGGAGATGGCATTTGGAAAACTGCAAATGTTCTGGAACAAGAATGTTTTGAGTCCAAATCATGACTACTCCTCTTCCAAGCAAATTACTGAATTTCTTTTAACTTCTGTTTCCTTCTCCGCAAGACAGTAATGGTATTCATTTCACAAGATTACTCTGAGCAATGGGTGGAATCACTTCTTTTGCTTTTTGTGGTACCAGGGATTGAACTCAGGACCTTGAGCTTGCAAGGCAGGCGTGGTGCCACTGAGCTAAATCCCTGGCCTGAGTGGAATCACTTCTACTGGAGAGAAGCGAGCGCTTCCATTTTTATAAATCTAACCTACTTGTGCGTATGGGGAAATGAAACGATGACTTGGCTCCCTCTGGGCCCTTTGGCCAGTTGGTGGACTGCACTTTATCTCTGGGGA